TGATGGATTTCTTTAATGAAAAAGTGGAACTATCTTTTTCAACTTTTTCCTTAGCAAGTCCTTCCATACGGACAAAATACATTGCAAACTGAGTTGGTTTGTTTTGGAAAAAAAATCTCTGATCAGCTAGCGAAGAAAGAACATATCTCCCATAAACATAAAACTGCCCATCTGAATATGAAGAATTTATGGAAATCATTCAACAGCAACACAACATTTTTTACGTTTTCCCGGAAACTGAATAGCTTTGAATCCGCCGGATGTTTTATGTACAGAAAGAGTTTTCAATATAAAGCTTTGTTTTGGGCAAAAACGTGATTTCACCGCATGAAAAAGAGGAAGAAAAGAGAAAAATGTGATTTTACCACAGCGCTGCAAGAATTGGAAGCCCTTATGAAGCAAGAACATCAGCAAATGGCTAACATGGCAAAAAACCAACTATTATAAAATTGATTAAAGGGTTCAACATGATTAATACTAAAAGTAAAAAAGCCGATCAATTGGAAAAATAAGTTACAACACTAGACACAGCGATGATAGACATCGACGAATACGAATACCTAACCAAGAGTAAGTACCACAATTAAAAGAAACAAGGAAATTATAAAACAAAGGATGCAAAGCGCACGGAAAACGACTCAAGAAGAACACTATTAAAAACTTGCCGAGAAGTAGTGACGGAATAAACATTACGAATTAAACTCCACACAACAATTTCGCCGCATACTTTCGAATTTTCCAAATAAAGCAAGTACATGACAATCATAATAGGAACACAATGAGATTTACAACAAATTCGCAGAAATCGTAGAAGACTGGTTACAATTACCTACCAAATGGAAATACGCAAGAATCGGATAGATAAATTAAATGAATAAACCTATTTTAAATTAATTAAGTTATGTTGAAATAATATATTATGTAATATTTATTTTATTATTTTCTTTCTTGGGCTCCAGTCACAGTGTAAAACAAAAAATTTTTGTATATCGTTTATTTCGTTACGTTTCGGCGAGACAACAAATACAATAAAAAACAATAATGTTTACCAATTATGAGGTAAGTTTTTCAA